GGGGGGGGGGCACAATTTAGCCCATCATAGTGATGGCACAGAGGAAGGCAGGAACCGTTTGGGCTTTTCTCATGAGGCCTTCATGCATTTGCCTGTGTTCATTTGCTGTATAACAAACCACCCCAAACAGTGGCTTAAAACCACCATTAATTAGTTCACAATTTGGTGGGTCTGCTCCCAGGGCTGTGCTCTGCTGGGCAGTTCTTCTGGTTTCACTCTTGTGGCTGCACTTGCCTGTGGATCAGCTGACGTTGTGTGGCCCTGGATGGGCTCACTTACATGTTTGGTGTTTTATAGGGTGGGTGGTTCCCCATCCCCTTGGCACTTTGCAGAAACGGCAGCCTTATATGGGAAGTAGCATCCTTAGACCGTGGGTCTCTGAATCAGACAGGGAGGATGGGGGTGCAGGCTCAGCTTGGTACTTACTGGATAGGACCCTTGACTGGCGTGGCTCCTTTCTGAGTCTCTGCCATCCCCTCCATGAGGGCAGGGACCACACTTGTCCTGTTCTTGGCAATGTGTCTGGCACATGTCCTGGATCACAGAAGTCACTTAGTGAACATTTGCCTGGGGGCTTGGGTGGGAGGTGGCTGGGGATCCCCCGAGGATACTGTGTAGATAAGTAAGAAGTAGTGTTCCCCTGTTCTGTATACGTGCCGGATGAGTGGGAAGTGCCTCGGGATAAGATCACCCTCCTGCGAGAGCTGGGGCAGGGCTCCTTCGGCATGGTGTATGAGGGCAACGCCAAGGACATCATCAAGGGCGAGGCAGAGACTCGAGTGGCGGTGAAGACAGTCAACGAGTCGGCCAGTCTGCGGGAGCGGATCGAGTTTCTCAACGAGGCCTCAGTCATGAAAGGCTTCACCTGCCATCACGTGGTGAGTCCTTTTGCCCCAGGAGCATGCAAAGGTTACTCTTATTAGCCGAAGAAGAGATTCTGGCTGTAATAAAGAACAAAAAGCATGTGTTTGAGCAAAAATTTGCAACCCGAGGGACCCAGAGTCAAGTAGCAACTACACTGTGCTCCAGAGAGAACCAAGAGGGGCAGGGGTGCTGAAGGCAGAAACCCCACTGTGCACTCTTTCCTGCCGATGGAGGATGCTGGCGAGGTTACCAGGGCTCGGTTAGTTTCAATGTGCAAAGTGCAAGGTGGAAACTGCGAGGAGGGCAAGCCCCTGGGTTGTTCCTGGGTGTTTAAGGCTCGGCCTTGAGCTGTGTTTAGCTGCAGGTTAGCAACGTAACAGCAGCTCCGAGAACCAAGGCACAGGACTGCAGAGGCCCCACTTCCCTGAAAGCCTCCCGACCCTCTTAGTGACTCTCAGCGATGCTTGTCCACGTTTACGTTTCTCGATCATTGCTTTCATGTTGGCTCCCTCTCCGCTCTGCTCCGCTGTTCCTCCTACGCACAGAGCATGAGGACAGTGGGTGCGGACCCCTTGCCCAGCCCCAACCCTACTGAGCTTCCCAAAAGTGGGAGGAGGGTCTCTCTTCTCCAATCCCACCTCACTTGGAGACAAATTCTTTCTGTCCCAGTGCTTTCTGGAGTCTTCCATCTCATCTTCTCAGCACCTTTTTAACCCTTCAACACACAGTGGTGCGCCTTTCCCTCGTCCCCCCTAAGTCAGCAATACTCCTCCTGGCCTTCTGCTTCCACATTGCCTATTTTTCTCTTGAATCTCCTGTCCCTTCATCTGTCCCCCTGCTCTAAGCCCTGTTCTCATCTCTGATGCCCTGTGGAGCTTCCAACACAGCGGGTGCAGACAGACCCTAAAGCCAGTAGGCTCATCAAGGGGAGATGCTGCTGTGGCAAAATGAGAAAGGAGAGCTGGGTTGGGGCATTGGGAATTCAGGAGTGGGGGAGGTGTGTTTGAGCAAAGACAGAAAGGATATAGGGACAGCCATGTGGACACGTGAGGGAGCAGAGGGTCAGGCCTGAAGGTGGGGATGTGCCTTGTGTGCTCAGAGATGTCAGGAACTAGACAGTGATTTGCCTGTCTGCTCCCCCCCACCCAGACTCTGGTCCTGAATTCTCCCTTCTTGTCCCCCCTCCCAGGGCGTTGACCCTGGCATGGGAGCCGGACAGACTAGGGTTTACCACAAGAGCAGGGTGCTGTGGGTGACCAGACAGGGAGAGCTGCGCGAGTTGAAATCTTCCCGCAGACCCTCATGCCAGGCCCCCACCCCCCCACATACTTGCTCTGCAGGTCCGGCTCCTCGGGGTGGTGTCCAAAGGCCAGCCTACGCTGGTGGTGATGGAGCTGATGACTCACGGAGACCTGAAGAGCCACCTTCGGTCCCTGCGGCCTGACGCCGAGGTGAGCTGCCCCTGGGTGCTGTGCAGGGCACTCACTCCAGGCCTCTGCCCAGTGTCGCTGAACACCCTTCTGTTCTGACTTTAGAATAACCCCGGCCGCCCGCCCCCCACCCTGCAAGAGATGATTCAGATGGCGGCGGAGATCGCTGATGGCATGGCCTATCTGAACGCCAAGAAGTTCGTGCACCGGGACCTCGCGGCTCGAAACTGCATGGTGGCCCACGATTTTACCGTCAAAATCGGAGGTTCGTCTGGCTTTCTGCTTTGGACTGTATGGCCCAGGCCACATTTAATTTCAGAAGTAATTGTCTATCATGGGTTGTTAAAGCTTTGCCAGTGGCGAAAAGGGGCAAGGTTTTGGACGGGCATCTGATTCTCACAATGTAAATTTTTTTTCCCAAAATCTTTTTTTTTTTTTACTTTAAATTTAAAAAAATTTTATTTTTCAATTACATTTTACATTCTATATTATTTTTACTAGTTTAGACAACCATACTTTACAAAGTTCCACACCGTAATTTAGTTGCATTCGTTCATTAACTTACTCCCTTCTTTAAGTGCTATTAGTGTTCCCTGTGTGCGAGCCACTGAGGGAGGCACTACCTGTGTGCCGATCAATATGTCACCATGGTTTTTCTGCCCTCGTGGGCTTGCAGTCTTTATCTGCACCATCTAGCACAGTAGGCACTGGCCACATGTGCCCATCTACGTTTAAATTAACTTACATTAAGTAAAATTAAAAAGTCAGTTTGTTGGTCGCATGGGCCACATTTCAGGTGTCCAGTAGCCACCTTGAGCCCAGTGGCTGCCATAGTGGACGCTGTGGGTATAGACCATGTTCATCACCACAGAAAGCTCTGGGCAGAGCTGTTGTAGATCAACAGTAAAATGGTGCACACTCATAGACGAGATAAAGAAGGTGGGAAAGGAGCACTGAAGGAAATGGACGTCCCCGACCCGGAGGAAAGGCCTCTGTCTGAAAAGAGGCACCATTTCCCCCAAGACTCGGAGGCTTAGAAGTTGACCTGAGTCACTCAGGTCAACAGCATCCCAGGGGGAGGTACAGCACATGGAGGGGTGACGCTGTGGTGTCAATGAAATGCATGTGGAGGGGACAGAGCAGCCTGAGATAAGACATTAGGCAGAGGCAGGAGCCAGACCCAGAAGGGTCTTGCAAGTCATAGTAAGTCATCCAGACATTGTCCTGGGCAGCCAGTGCAAAGCAGGGTGTGATGTGATCCTGTTTATGATCCCCAAAGACAGTCCCCTACATTAGCAGTCAGTGGAAGCGAGAAACGATGTTATTCTGTTTATAATCTCCAAAGAGCTAAGCCTGTATCAGCAGGGGAAGCTGGAGTGACAAAGTGATGCCATTCTGTCCCTGAAGCTTCTCTTGGGCAGTGGGCTGTCAGGGTCCGGGTGGAGGGAGGGTCCTGTAGGTGAGAGAGGGCGGTGGGCCTGGTTGGTGCCAGGGCAGTGGAGAGGAGCAGATAGTCAGGGAGGGATGCGGAGGGAGAGTGGGTAGGACTCGCCGCTGTTTTGCGGGTGGGATGTGAGGAAAGGGGATGGTCAAAGGGAGGCCCAACTCTGGGATTCTGGCCGGGCCGCTGGCTGTTGGGGGGGCCACATGCAGTGGGGAGCAGTGGGTTGGCTGCAGAGTTAATAGTTTGATTCGGGTGGCTTGTGGGCCAGGGGTGGGAAGGAAGTGTTTCTGAGAGTGGGATTCCCAGGCTCCAGCCGGAATATCACTTTTTGCCACTTGGTGGTTCCTTTTCCTTCCCTTCAAATGGTGGCCCACCCTCTTCCTCCACATGCCATGAGCACCCTCAGAGTCCACTCTCCCTGGGTTCGGTGGCAGCCCAGGCGAGTATACGCCTGGACCAGCCGCGCCTATGCGAGGGCTCTGCCAGGGGCGGGGCAGTGAAGAGGGCGACACCTGAGCCACAGGCTGAAGGGTTAAGGGTTTGTGAACCGTTTGTTGGCAGACTTTGGAATGACCAGAGACATCTATGAAACGGACTATTACCGGAAAGGCGGCAAGGGCCTGCTTCCTGTGCGCTGGATGGCACCTGAGTCTTTGAAGGACGGGGTCTTTACCACTTCCTCTGACATGTGGTGAGTTGTGCGTGAGCTGGCTGGTGGAATGCTGGTCGCTCCGCTAGTCTGAGTGACAGGGCAGTGACAACCCGCGTTCCTCTTGGCCATCAAGGAAATGAAGGGAATGTCATGTCTGAGGACTCTTGCACAGCTGCTGTTACATCCCAGCTGAGGCTAATTTTATAGACATTTCTGAATGCAGCATAATTTATTTTTTTCATTTTTATTTATTTGTTTGTTTTTCTATTACAGTTCCCATTCAATATTACGTTTGTTTTAGGTGTACAGCATAGTGGTTAGACATTTGTAATACTTATGAACCGATCCTCCCAGCAGGTCTAGTGCCCACCTGGCAACATACATACTTACTACGTTATTGACTCTATTCCCTGTGCTGTACTTTACATCCCTGTGACTATTTTATAACTACCAGTTTGTACCTCTTAATCCTCCACCCAGTCCCCCAACCCTCGTCCCATCTTAACTCTCTGCTTGTTCTCTGTATCAATGAGTTTGTTTCTGTTTTGATTATTAGCTTATTTTGTGTTTTAGATTTCACATGTAAGTGAAATCACAATGTATTTGTCTTTTTCTGTCTGACTTATTTCACTTAGCATAATACCCACTAGGTCCAACCATGTNATTAGCTTATTTTGTGTTTTAGATTTCACATGTAAGTGAAATCACAGTGTATTTGTCTTTCTCTGTCTGACTTATTTCACTTAGCATAATACCCACTAGGTCCAACCATGTTGTTGCAAATGGTAAGATTTTGTTCTTTTTTTATGGCTGAATAATATTCTGTTGTGTATATGTACCACATCTTCTTTGTCCAGTTGTCTGTTAATGGGTACTTAGTTTGCTTCCATTTCTTGGCTATTGTAAATAATAGGGCAGTGAACATAGGGATGCATATATCTTTTCAAATTAGTGTTTTGGATTTCTTCAGATAAATATTNCAGTTGTCTGTTAATGGGTACTTAGTTTGCTTCCATATCTTGGCTATTGTAAATAATAGAGCAGTTAACATAGGGATGCATATATCTTTTCAAATTAGTGTTTTGGATTTCTTTAGATAAATATTCAGAGGTGGAATTGCTGGGTGATACAATAGTTCTATTTCTAATTTTTGAGGAAACCCCATACTGTTTTCCATAATGGCTGCACCAATTTGCAATCCCACCAACAGTGATGAGGGTTCCCTTTCCCCACATCCTCACCAGNAGATAAATATTCAGAGGTGGAATTGCTGGGTGATACAGTAGTTCTATTTCTAATTTTCGAGGAAACCCCGTACTGTTTTCCATAATGGCTGCACCAATTGGCAATCCCACCAACAGTGATGAGGGTTCCCTTTCCCCACATCCTCACCAGCAATTGTTGTTTGTTGATTTATTGATGGTAGCCCTTCTGACAGATGTGAAGTGGTATCTCATTGTGGTTTTAATTTGAGTTTCTCTGATGTTTAGTGATGTTGAGATCTTTTCATATGTCTATTGGCCATCTGTATGTCCTCTTTGGAGAAGTGTCTGTTCAGGTCCTTTGCCCATTTTTAAATTGGATTGCTTGTTTTCTTGGTGTTGAGTTATATGATTTCTTTATAAATTTTGGATATTAACATCTTATCAGATGTATCATTGGTGAATGGGTTCTCCCAATTGGCAGGTTGTCTTTTTGCTTTATTGATGTGCAGAAACATTTTAGTTAGATTTAGTTCCATTTGTTTATTTCTTTTTTTGTTTCCCTTGCCCTGAGGAGTTATGTCAGAAAAAATATTACTAAGAGAAATGTAAGAAATTTTACTGCGGGTGTTTGTTTTCTTTCAGGAGTTTTATGGTTTCTAGTCTTACATTTAAGCCTTTAATCCATTTTGAGTTTATTCTTTATGGTGTAAGAAGGTGGTTTAGCTTCATTTTTTGCATGTATCTGTCCTATTTTCCCACCATTTATGGGATAGATTGTTTTTGCCCCATTGTATATTCTTGCCTTGTTTTTTNAAAGGTGGTTTAGCTTCATTTTTTGCATGTATCTGTCCCATTTTCCCAACACCATTTATGGGATAGATTGTTTTTGCCCCATTGTATATTCTTGCCTTGTTTTTTGATAGATTAATTGACCATATAGGTATGGGTTTATTTCTGGTGTCTCTAGTCTGTTCCATTGACCTGTCTGTTTTTATATCAGNTGATAGATTAATTGACCATATAGGTATGGGTTTATTTCTGGTGTCTCTAGTCTGTTCCATTGATCTGTCTGTTTTTATATCAGTGCCGTGCTGTTTTGATTATTATAGCCTTGTGGTATAGTTTGAAATCAGGTAGGATGATGCCTCCAATTTTGTTTTTCTTTTTCAAGATTGCTATGGCTTTCTGGGGTCTATTGTGATTCCATATAAATTTTACAATTATTTGTTCTAGTTCTGTGAAAAATGCCATTGGTATTTTTATAGGGATTGCATTAAATCTATAGATTGCTTTGGGTATTATGGACATTTTAACGATGTTAATTCTTCCTATCCATGAACACGGTATATGCTTCCATTTATTTGTATCTTCTTCAGTTTCTTTCTTCAACAGGATCTTATAATTTTCTAAGTACAAATCTTTTAACACCTTGGTTAAATTTATTCCTAGGTATTTTTTGATGGGATTATCTTAATTTCTCTTTCTGATAAGTTCATTATTGGTGCATAAAAATGCAATTCATTTCTGAATATTAATTTTGTATCCTGCTACTTTACTGAATTCATTTATCACTTCTAGTAGTTTTTTTGGTGGNCCTAGGTATTTTTTGATGGGATTATCTTAATTTCTCTTTCTGATAAGTTCATTATTGGTGCATAANACAGGATCTTATAATTTTCTAAGTACAAATCTTTTAACACCTTGGTTAAATTTATTTTTTAATGGGATTATCTTAATTTCTCTTTCTGATAAGTTCATTATTGGTGCATAAAAATGCAATTCATTTCTGAATATTAATTTTGTATCCTGCTACTTTACTGAATTCATTTATCACTTCTAGTAGTTTTTTTGGTGGAACCTTCAGGGTTCTCTCTATTCGTATCATGTCATCTGCAAATAATGACAGTTTTACTTCTTCCTTTCCAATTTGGATGCCTTTTATTTCTTCTTTTGTCTGATTGCTGTGGCTAGGACTTCCAATACTATCCTGAATAAAAGTAGTGAGAGTGGATATACTTATCCTGCTCATGATCTTAAGGAAAATGTTTTAGCTTTCNAGCTTTCCCCCTGCTTTTTTTAATTACTTGAGGATATGTTTATTGGTTTTAGAGAGAGGAAGGGAGAGAGAGNTTAGCTTTCCCCCTGCTTTTTTTTAATTACTTGAGGATATGTTTATTGGTTTTAGAGAGAGGAAGGGAGAGAGAGAGAGAAACATCGATGTGAGAAACATTGATTGGTTGCCTCCTAAATGCACCCTGACTGGGAATCAAACCCACAACCTAGGTGTGTGCCCTGACTGGCAGTTGAACCCGCAACCTTTTTGTGCTTGGGATGATGCTCCAACCAAGTGAGCAACCTGGCCAGGGCTCTTTTTCTTCTTAATTCATTCTTGGAAGATTGTATGTTCCTAGGAATTTATCCATTTCTTCCAGATTGTCCAATATATAGGCAGTTGTTTCCCCGGCAGACAAAAGCTGCCTGGATGATAAAGGTCTGCCTGAGAAATATGTCCTCTGCAGTATAGGGGAATGACTCAGGGTAGGAATCCAGATGGCTGCCCTCTGAGCTCTATTCCCCAAGCCAGTATCCCTAGATTCTCCTCACACAGCTCTGTTCCACTCTGTCCTCCCTCAGCCAGAGCCTAAGGTGAGTGGCTGCACATGAAATTTTGTGTGTTGGCCCTTTAAGAGGGTGCCTAAATTTCCAGCCTTCTCTCCCTGGTAGACAGGAACCCTGGTACTTCTCACAGCCAGATGTTATCTGTGCACCTTTCTTAGTTCTGGTGCTCTGGGTTGGTGAGCTCAGCCTTGGGTTTATACCCCATAGTTCTCAGTGGGAACCCCCCACAGCTGAAATATCCCTTGGAAACGTCAGCTGCTGCCTGTGGGGCCCGGCCAGCCCTCTCACGCTTCCGTACTTTGTACTGTCTCTGTGTGGTCTCCACTTTAAATCCTTGGTTATGAGGTTGTTTTTCAGCTAGTCTTCAATTGATTATTCAGGATGGTTTTTCTATAATTAGTTGTAATTCCACTTTGGTCCTGGAAGAGTGTTAGTGTAGCCTCCAGTTAATCCACCGCCACCTTGGAATCTGTGTTTGGGTTGTGATTGCTGTTTTCTCGTTCATGGGTGGGCTTGGCCCTCTCTGGCTGTCGGACTGTGAGGCTCAACTTCAACCACATCCTGCCAACTGTTATACAGGTGCTTACAGCACAAAGCAGGACAAAATAAGTCCAAACCGAAAACAGCACGAAATAAAACAAACCAATAACTAGAAGAGAAACAAGAACAAAATAATAGAATAAGAAAAGAAAAAAAAATACTAAAAAACATGAGACCAAAAATTAGGGAACAAAATAGAAATCAAAAGAAAGAATATGAGGAAAAAGAAGGAAGACAAAAGATAAATATAAGAATAATAAATAAAGTAATAATAATGACAAGTTAGTACTAATAATGAATTAAATGAAAGATAGAATAGGAAAAGAAAAATGGAAAAAAAATTAAAAAATAAAGAGAGCAAAAGAATAGACTGTGAGAAAAGGAAAGAAAGAGATAAGAGAGATGAAAGAGGAGGAAAAACGAAATATGAAAGAAAAGGTTATGAAAAGATCTACAAATAGGAAGTAGAGTTCGCCTCCACAGATTTTGGTGCCTACTGCGTTCACCCTTTGGATCTTCTCTTTGTGGAGCTTGCTAGATTTTGCTCTGAGGTTGTCTGATGCTGGCCAGTTGGTGTGCTGGCTCCGGGCCTTTTGGAGGTACTCTGGTGCTAGCCAATGTCAGTCGCTGTCCCTGCCTGGCACTCAGCAACGTGTCTGAAGCTTGGCAGGGCGGAACCCCAAGTAGTTCATTGGCCTGGGCCTCTGGAGTCCAGAGGCTCGTCTGTCTCCGGTTGTACCTTGAATGTCCCTGCTCTGAGCTGCTCTCCCTTCCCCCACGGAACTGTGTTCTGTGGAGGTATCCGGGATCTGGCCAGGATGGTTTAAACGGGCTCCCGTTGGGGTTGTTGCCTGTAACCTGTAGGAGGGGTGGCAGACACTTCCTCTCCTTCCCAGGGCGGTGCTGCCTGAATTCACTGGAGACCTCTGATCTGCTTTATATAATGCAGCTGAAGGACCCAGCCATGCTTATCTGTCTCCTGGACAGAAGGCCACCCGGGAAACACAGTTGCAGTACCTCAGTTCTGCCTGGCTTTCCTGGCACCCCCTCACTGCCACACCAAGTAGCAGGGGATTTAAAAAAATTCACCTCCACTGCCACTTCAGTCTTCCCCCATGGCCGACCCCACTGAGCCTGGGGATGTCTGAGCGCACCGTGCCATCAGGCTGAGCAGTTCAGGGGCAGATTTCTAGCCCAGCACCATTCCCCTTTGCTCCAGATGACAGAAGTCTGGGCAGACCTAGTAGCTGCCCAGGTCGGAGGCAAGGCGCTGCCCATGTGCTCGAGGTCAGCGAGACTGGTCCTTTTCCCAAGCCACACAGTCCAACCCCTGTCTGGCTCTCTACCCAAAGTTCTTCCAGAGAAAAAAGGGCCCCTCAGAGTCACTCTTGGGTGTACCAGTCAGATCCTTTCACTGGCCCCGAGCTCTGCCACGTGGCCTCTCCAGCAGACATAGATCAGAGCGAACTTCAGACGCTGGTGTTGTAACACAGAAGTTGCTCTTTGCCTGGGAAGGTGTGGTCTGTCTCTCCCAGGTGGACAAAATCCCCACTGGACCCCACCACCTGATGCTAACCAGGCTCCCCTTCTCTTCTCTGTTGTTCTGGATTGGGGATCCCAGTGTGGGGTGCGACCCCATGCTCCCAGGGGATGGGGGGCTTCGCTGCCACCGTATCTCTCCAGCTTCCCAGCTGTGCACCTGTGCAAGTTGGCTCACGCTCACCACATTTTCTCTTGTTTTTCCCCTGTGTTCCCTGCTTTCATTATTTCAGATTAGCTACACTTCAACTGGTTTTTCAAGCCACTTGCTCTCCAGTTTAGCCGCAAGTCTGGTCTGGTGTTGGGAGCAAGCAGATGGAGTTTCCAGCTACTCTGTAATCGTTGTGGAATCTTATATTTATGATCTTTAAAAATATTTTTCTTCTTAATGGAGCCCCTTTAACATTTCTTGTTAAACTGTTTTGGTGGCAATGAACTCCTTTAGCTTTTTCTTGTCTGGGAAGCTCTTTGTCTCTCCTTCAGTTTTTAAATGATAGCCTTGCTGAGTAAAGTTGTCTTGGTTGTGTTTCCTTGCTTTTTTTAAAAAATATATGTTTTTGTTGATTTCAGAAAGAGGAAGGGGAGGGAGAGAGACATAGAAACATCAATGATGAGAGAGAATCGATTGACTGTCTCCTGCACGCCCCCTATTGGGGATCAAGCCCGAAACCCGAGCATTACCAAGGAACCAAACTGTGGTCTCCTGCTTCATGGGTTGACACTCAACCACTGAGCCATGCTGGCCATGCTGTGGTTCCGTGCTTTTTGTCTCTTTGACTATATTGTGCCAGTCCTTTCTAGCCTGCGATGTTTCTGTTGAGAAACCAGCTGACATTCTTAGGGTTGCTTCTAGGTAACTGCTTTCCCTCACCCCCCGCCGATTTTAAGCTCTTCTCTTNCCCCCCCTCCCCCCCCCGATTTTAAGCTCTTCTCTTTGCCTTTAACCTTTGCCATTTTACTTACGNTCCCTCACCCCCCGCCGATTTTAAGCTCTTCTCTTTGCCTTTAACCTTTGCCATTTTACTTACGATGTGTCTTGCTGTGGGCCTCTTTGGGTTTATCTTCTTTGTGACTCTCTGTGCTTCCTTGATTTGTATGTCTATTTCCTTCACCAGATTAGGGAAGTTTTCCATTATTTCTTCAGATAGGTTCTCAATCCCTTGGTCTCTCTCTTCTCCTTCTGGTTTCCCTATGGTGTGAATGTCATTATGCTTGATGTTGTCCCAGAGGTCCCTTAAACTATCCTCATTTTAAATAATTTGTCTTTTTTCCTGTTTTGATTGGGTGCTCTCTACTACCTTGTCTTCCAAATTGCTGGTTCGATCCTGTGCCTCATCTAATCTGCTGGTTTCTTCTAGTGGATTCTTCATTCCAGTGTGTTCTTTATTTCTGACTGGTTCTTTTTTATGGTTTCCATGTCCTTTTTTATGCTTATTGTCTATTGTGGTTTTCACTGAGTTTACCGACTCTCCCCCTAAGTTCCTTGAGCATCCTTATGACCAGTGTTTTGAGCTCTGTATCTGGTAGATTGTTTGCCTCCATTTTGTTTAGTTATTTTTCTGGAATTTTTAAATGTTCTTTCTTTTGTGACATGTTTCTTTGTGTCCTCATTTTGGCTGCCTCTCTGTGTTTGCTTTTATGTATTAGGTAGATTTCCCAGCCTTGGCAGGGTGCCCTGATGTAGTAGGTCACTTATGGGGCCCCCATGGTGCAGTCTCTCTGATTACCTGAGCTGGGTGCTCCGTGAGTGCCCCTTGTGTGGATTGTGTGTGCCCTCCTGTTGTAATTGAGCCTTGATTGCTGTTGTCATGTCGGGGGGCGGATTGACCCTCAGGCTGACTGGTTATGAGGACGGGCCATCACCACAGTGAATGAGCTTCTGTGTGGGTGCTGATCTCACAGATCGGGATTTGCCCAAGTGGCTCTGATACCAGCCACTTGTTTAGCTTACCTGGTGGGGTGTTGTGTGATCTGAAGATGGCCATTGGGTATGCTGTTTTAGGGGCCTCTTTGGAGGGACTCTGCTGCAGGTCCATGTTAGCCACTGCCTGTGACTGGAATGGGGCTACCTGGTAGGAGCTACAAAGTGTTCTGCAGTTGGTGGCTTTCTGTTCTGGGTCTGGGGGTGCATGGGAGAGGTCATACTGTGAACTGAGGCCTCCTCCCACCAGTTCTGGCTTTGGGCTGCTCAATGAAAAGCACAGGGCACCCTGCCTGTAGCTGCCTGCTTGCTGCCACATGGCTCTGTAGCTAAAAGACTTTCAGATGGAGTCTCAGGTAGTGTCAGGGTGTGGCAAGTGGAGTTCATCAGGGTAATGCAGATTAAGGTTTGGCTGTGTAGGAGGAGGGCTCAACTCAGGGACAATGGCAGCTATCCCTCCAGCCCTTGTTCTCAAGCCACACAACTTGCTTCTCCCTGTATGTCTCTATTTCCCCCCCAGAACCCCCAGCTGCTGTCTCTCTGCCAGAGCCCATGCTCAGTGCCTGAGAGCAAGTGAGTCTGTGCGTGGGACCTTTAAGAGAATGCCTGGGTTTTCCAGCGGCCTTTCATCTCACCCAGATGGATGGAATCCTCACTGATTTTCACAGCCACATGTTTTGTGATGTTTTCTTCCCAGCACTGGTGCTCCGGGCTTGGGAGCCCAGTGTGGGCCAGGGACCCCTCGCTCCTCAGGGGAGACCTCTGTAGCTGAGATATCCCTCATGATTCTCAGCTGCCACACGGGGGTGTGGGACCAGCCTGTTCTGTATCTCTGCCCCTCCTTCCAGTCTCTCATGGTTCCTTCTGTATTTCCTTAGTTATAAGATTTATGTTCAGCTAGTCTACAGATGGTTCTCCAGGTTAATTGTTCTATAATTTAGGTGTAATTTTCATATGGCCATGGGAGGATACGAGCACAGCAGTTACCTAATCCTCCATCTTGATAGGAAGTGAATCTGAATTACTTTATTAACTGGCCAGACAGTTTCTAGGAAACTAGGAAAGGTGTGTGTGTGTGTGTGTGTGTGTGTGTGTGTGTTTTAACGACTTCTTTGTTACTTCTCTCAACTGTTGTTGTCAGGTCCTTCGGCGTGGTCCTTTGGGAAATCACCAGCTTGGCAGAACAGCCTTACCAAGGCCTCTCTAATGAGCAGGTGTTGAAATTTGTCATGGATGGAGGGTATCTGGAGCAACCTGAAAATAGTCCAGAGAGACTGTAAGTATAGAAAGTGGTGTCCATTTAAAAGGCATTTCATTTTGCACACATGCTTGTGTTTGTATATCATGTCTACATGTGTGCTTGTTTCTGCATAACTTATGTCTATCTGTGTGCTTGTGTTTGCATACCATATGTTTACATGGATGGGTGCTTGTGTTTGCAGTCTTATATATACATGTGTGCTTGTGTTTGCACATCACACATGTACAGGCATGCTGGTGTTTGCATATGTCTACATGTGTGCTTGTGTTTGCATATTTTATTTTTGAATGACCCTTGGGTTTGCATGTCATGTCTTTGGAAGAGAACTGGGAAGCTGGGTGGGAGACTTATGTTTAACCCATGAATCTAATACAATGTTATATTCAACTATATCTCAGTAATACTGGAAAAAATAAGTCAGTAAGCATAAACATTAAAAATTTTTTTCTTTTAAATATTTGTTATGGGACCAAATGGACAACACATGCCATTAAACATTTGCAAAATTATTCAGCCGCACTAATAGTCCAATAGGTATAAAGTAAAATAAAGGAAAGTACTTTCTTCCTTAATTAGCAAATAAAGAAAGGAAGGAATGGAGGGAGGGAGAGAGAGGAAGGAAAGCAGGGTGAGTCTTGACGCTCGGTATTGGCAATGGCGTGGCTAGATAACCATTCTTACTGCCCTGTTATAAGAGCTACTCAGAGCAATGTTATTTAAAGTCTCAAAAAATTGAAATGATCTAAACATTCAGCAAAATGAGAATTGCCAAGTAAATTGATACGTTACTATGATGTAGCAATTGAAATTTCAAATGATGTTTTTAAGTATTTTATAACTCAGTGGATAAACCTGTTGAAATATTAAGTGAAAAAAGCGTGTATATGTTCCATTTCCAAATATGTCCAGGTAGAAAAGACAAGAGGTTATATCTGAAGGAGAGTTGTGTGTGAGCTGCATTTTCTCTATATTTTGGGGTGTTTTTAACTTTCTACAGTGAGCATTTATTACATATAAAATCTTTCATCATTGTTTTTTTAAGAAAAGAGTTTGACCTGAAAATTTATGGGAAGAGGCCCTTTCTGTCCTTCATCCCCAAAAGAGTAAGACATCAACGTAAAAAACCTGGTTTGAAGAGACCTCGTATGAAAAACAGTATGATGCAGAGTGTTTTAGAGTCTCCGAGCAAAGTGTTTCGAACACATTGCCTCGTGAAGGTCCTTTCCTAGCCAGGCCAGTTAGCAGCCGGCCGTGGCTCCAGGACCAGGGGGATTCAGGAGGCCCTAGGGCGGGGGTCTGCAAACTTTTTTGTAAACAGCCATGTTATAAGTATTTTTGCTTTGTGGCCCATGTTGCTCTCTGTTTCAGCTCCTCAACTCTGCCACTGTAGCTGGAAGGCAGCCATAGTTATGTGACTGTGTGTCAATAAATGTTTATTTACAAAAACACTCAGGGGGCCAGGTTTTGTTCAGGGGCCAAAGTTTGCCAACCCTGCCCTGGAACAAGTTACAGTGGGGAAAAGAAGAGGTAAACTGGAAATCCCAGGCCCTCAGCCCCTGTCCTGTTTGCCGTTAGCTGAGTAAAGTTGTAATGCTTTCCGGCCATCGTTGCGTTGAAAGAGTGACAGCGGGGCCTGCAGGACGGCCATGCAGAGCTGGCCATCTAGGTTCAGCCCGCACAGCTGCAGCTGTCAGGTGTGAGGACATATAAAACGAGGGACTGTGGTCTCAACATGTGGCAACATCAGGAGAGGCCTTTCTTGACCTGGCTCTGGAATAAGGCAGCCCCTTTGGCTCTCTTTAAAACCACCTTTCAGCAACCAATAGAATTGCTGCTTCTGCTTGACTGTTACCTGCACATGTAGCCACTGTCTGAAACGAACACATCACCTGTGGATGTGGGTCACCGGGGTGGGGGTGAGGGCTGCTTGGCTGGACCCCTGGACTCACCCCCAACATGTGTCTCTCCCACAGCAACGAATTGATGCGCATGTGCTGGCACTTCAACCCCAAAATGAGGCCGACCTTCCTAGAGATCGTCGACCTGCTTAAGGACGACCTGCACCCCAGCTTTCCGGAAGTTTCTTTCTTCTACAGTGATGAGAACAAGGCTCCTGAGAGCGAGGAGTTGGAGATGGAGTTTGAGGACATGGAGAGTGTACCCCTGGACCGGTCCTCACACTCTCAGAGGGAGGACGATGGGGGGTCCTCGCTAGGCCGAAAGCGGAGTTACGAGGATCACATCTCCTACACCCACATGAACGGGGGCAAGAAAAATGGACGGGTCCTGACTCTGCCACGGTCCAGTCCTTCCTAACAGCGCCTGTTTGGGGGAGGGGATCCCACCTTCACTCTCCTCTAGTTTGAAGGTCTCCAGAAAACTCAGGATTTTCCCATGACTCTGCCAGTGTCCAGTGGAGCTGAGAGATCATTGCTCTCCGCTCCTGTTTATGGTACAACTTAAAACACATCTGTTTGATTGCCAATCTGACTAGGGATCAGAATGTAACTGTGAACAGAGAGGGGAGGGGTTTCCACAACTTCTGTCCTTTCCAGCAATGTTGGCACCAAGCCAGGATGTTACTTCTTAGTTTCTAGTCAATTGAAAGAAAGCACCTGTTTTTACAAAGGATTTTTTTTTTGGTGGACGGGGGCTGGTGTGTGAGCTACAGTATAAAACATAAAACTTGTTTGTGGAACAAAAGTTTGAAAGAAAGAAAAAACACACAAACCCTGTTCCAGTAGAATTCCAAGCTTTATGGAGTGAACTTTAGGAAGATTTGTCTCATTCAGGCTGAAGAATTTTTTTGTTTTCCTTCACAAAAGTAGTTCCTCAAATTGACCAATAGCTGCTGCTTTTATACTTTCGGTAAGAATCTGCAGTCCCAGCGTGCGTGTGCATGTGTATTCAGGGTAGACACGACTGGTGTTTGTGTGTGTTGTGTGTGTGCGCGCGCAGAGCACTCATGCTGAGATGAAGGTTTGGGGATTGGCTCATGAAGGTTCCACTTTTCCAAGTGTGTGAGCATCCTGGTTCCCCCTCCTTCCTTCGTACTCACTGGGAGACTAAGCCCTCGACAGGTTCTCACGTGCCCTAGTCCAGCCTCAGGCGTCTTCTCTCCCTTAACTTTGGTGATAAATGTTTTTCCAGGAGCTGAGGGTTGGTTTGGAATGATAATGGATCTTTTCAAGACCAAACAAAGCCAGGACCTAAAAAAAGAAAAAGAAAAGGAAAAAAGTCTCCCGAGATGATGAATTTTGAGAATATATTTGTAACATATTTAATTTTTTAAAAATCTCCAATCAGCCTCATAAGTTATTGCCTGTTTCCTGGTTTGGGGGAGGGCTGGTGTGTTAGGCCCGGGTGGGCATGGAGAGCTAGGCACCAGGGGCCTCCTTGCTTGGTCTCCAAAGCACCTGTTTTGCTGGGAATAGCCACGTTCGCTGCTAACCCTCTTGGATGTGGGAGGCCATGCTGAGGGTGTGGGCAGTTGGGTTTGATGGATGGTTAGGTTTCTGCTTGGGTAAGCTGGAAGCCACCTGGAGCTGAGCCCTGCCTTCGAACATACTTGTGGCTCTTGGACGTCCTGCTTCCCTGTGTGTGCCTCACGCCCTTCCTCACTGGGCGTGCCTATCCTCCGGTTATTCTGCAAACACGACAAGATCGGATCCTAACGTGTCACGGCACAAATGGACTGGAGAACACTAAGCAGTCTGAAGCGAGAGACACCTATCGGTCTGTCCTCTCCGTCCTCCGCATCCGACTGTCCTCAGAACTGACTTCCCAGAAGCTGCTCTGTGCTGTGACTTCAGCCGGGCCAGGTGTGGGGCCTGAGCGGAACTCTCAGGTGCTTGCGCTGTTGCAGCCCCTAAGAAAGTAGAGCCCGGGGAGGAGCCGCCAAGGACCTTCACACTCCCCAGAACTTCTGAACCAGCGAGAATCCAGTTTCTTCCCTTCGGGGAAAAGAACCACAGCTGCTCAAATAAAGAACACAGTGAACTTGTTACGTTGGTTCATCGGAATCATCACCCTGGTTACCCCCGAGTGCATTTTCTCACAAGTTTTTGATGACTTCCTCCTCTTCTCTCAGGAGTTGTGGGCTTAAGAACAGATAGAGACGCAGTGGTGACCTCCAAACTCCTCAATTCCTGATGGAGAACGCAGGGAGACACAAATCCCAATCGTCTGCTGCTCTCTCATTTATAAGGTTGAGAAATTAGAGCACGTAAAAGATTTCTGGGGAGCCTCTGTGGCCATGATTGGGTACAAGGAGCAAGAGTACAGAAGTTATCTTCACCAAATTTATTCTCTACATAGAAGAGGGTCTGTATGTACATTTTAAAAAACCACGTAGATCTAGGTATTATGTTCTTTTCATAGTAAATTAGTAGTGGCTGTAGACGACACTTGCAGCAATTTTCACATTTTTCTAATTCAGAAAGGTTTTCTTACATTAGGGGGAAAATAATTTATTTTAATATATAAAATCACTGTAAAAATCATTTTCCTAAAAAATGGAGTGCACGTCAATTTTTATCACAGAAAAATAAACAGGTGAATGTGGGCAATGATTCTTTCCCAGCACAGTCTACCTCAGCACTGTGAGGATGAGGTTCGATAATGGACATTTTTGCGACTTCAGAATTCTGCCAGGATCCAGCCTGAGTCAGGGAGAGTCTGTATCGGCTGATTCCGAATGCCAGGGGCCAGTCAGAAATTTGAGGGAGGGGTTTGGGAGAAGGGGTGGCCTTCTGTGAGCATAGATCCTTTTTCTGGCAGATAATCGTCTTCTCGGATTTTAATCTTCCTTCTGATTTTAATCTTCCTTTTTTTTTTTTTTAAATCTCCATTGACACCATGCTTCCCAAACAGAAACCAAATGTTGTGTCATTGTTGTGTATCTGATGAGTGGGGTGCCCAGACCTGAGCTGCTCACCTTTGGAGGGAGGTGTTGCTCTCTGCCCTAGGGTAAAGCAGGTTTTGTTGCAGAGCTGGCATCTCCTTGTGCCACTGCATCCCCCTGAAGTGAGCACCAAGGTGCCGTGGCTGTTCCCTTAGCCCCACCCCTTTCAGACTGAGATGCTGTTTGGGGGTGCATCAGATCACACTCGTGGGCACCTCACACACAAACACGCAATGCACTGTCTCCTAGGAGGTGTGCTGAGAAATCCCAACCCCAACCCACCAGCTTGCTGAAGACATTTCTTAGCAGCGAAACCTTGCAGCCCCATGTTGTGGTTTGGTGATCTCTAGCAGATACCGTTTGACCTTGTGGGGCTTTGAGAACCGTGTGTAAGTCCTGACAGGGCCGCAGGGCTATTATCATAGTCGCCACACCTTGCTGCACTTGTCATACTTATAAGGACTGCCCCTGCGGATGCCCTTGTCTCTGCTTGCCCCGGAGAGGTGGGATAGAGTGCTGGGCCCCCTTGGGAGTGGGATTTTACACACTTGACAGCTGTCTCTGCTGTTGCAGTGACAAGTGTGAGCAGCTGTTGGATCACAAACCTCCTTTTGCACCAGGCAATGTTGACTTTGTTCCTAGAAAGTCATGGTTGTCCTGGGGGTTGTGATGGCTTACAAAGCAACAAAGCCAGCTTAGGTTGACACTTTTTGTTTGTTTTTAAAGATGTCTCGCTATTATGAAAACCCTTTTCAGCCATGTGCTGAAATCCACAGTTCATTCTGAGACAAGAATACCAAACATATTGCTTTCTCCCTGGACCAGTGATGTCAAACACGTGTCTGGGAATGTTCATATTCTGGGAGCTGTCCTGGGTGCTCTCCTGCCGTCTCAAGCTGGTAGGAAGGGAGAAACGCCGCTGGTTCTCTTGGAGAGATGTTGAGCACCACTGAGAAAATGTGGGAATTGATGCAGGGCTCTGCACACGCAACCCACGACCACAGGAGACGGCTGCTCACGGATGGACAGAGCTGTCACTGTCTCCCACAAGAGTGGACAGGATGCCCTGAAATGTACTTGTTGGGTTGGAAGATGTTTATTTGCAGCTGTCATAACATTGGTCAGGGCATGGCCCCTGCCAGCTGTCTGAGGACGTGGATGTGCTGTAGTCTCAGCGACAATCATTTTACTACTTGGGTGGAAGCTTGGTGTTAAAGACTTTTGGGTGCTTTTTGGCGAGCCCTTGACCCCTCAGGCTATTCAGAAAGGATGGTTTGCTGGGGGTGGGGAAAGGAAATGCTGATTGTATATATGGTGCATGTAGAATGGTGTCCTTTCAGAAAACCTGGAATGTTTTCAGAATATTGATTTATGCCAGAGGTGAGGTTGGAAATGGACAGAACAGATTGGCATGCGTTCTTTTCAGACACACAAAATAAGGGTCAGGGGCTGCAACTGAAGGTGAATGTTTCCTTAGGGTCCCCCAGAAACAGGGAAACGACGTTTTGCACTTGCTGTCACCTCATGCCAGTCAAGGCCCAGACAGCCTCCAGCCAGATTGTTATTTGGGCAGGGGCCCCAAAAGTCCTTGTTAAAAAACATCATGAATCTGAGGCTCTTCGTTCCATTTGAGAAGGAAGGAGCAGCCCCAAAATGAGTGTGTGCACACAGACGTTGACAAGTGGCTTAAGCTGTCCCACTCTGTGTCTGGGGAGGGTTGCTTCAGCCCTGTGTGTGAGCAGCAGACACCTCCCATCCACCCTCAGCCTCACAGGATCAAATGTGCCTCGGCTTATGTGGAAAACAACTTGGAAACACAAAACACACCAAATAGCTCAATTACTATTTTCAGTGTTTTCCTGTAAGAGCCAAGTAATGCCATGTACAGAATATGCCTTCTTTGGGGGTGGGGTGGGGGGGGATTATTGAAATAGCTCTGCATGTAAAACATGGGGTAATTACCTGTTTATATGAAAATTCTGAATAAATTATCTGAAAATAGTCTTGTTTCTGTGTGGCATTCTAGCAAGGACCTATGAACTGTGTGGTCATGTGGCTATGGGGTGGGCTATGCCAGGAAATTGTGGAACAAACCCCTAAGTCCTTCAGAGCAATGAAGCAGGAGGTTAAATATTGTCACCGGCAGGGCTGACAACCCACTGGTACCTACCTGCACAGTTGAATTGGTGGTTTAAGTAATGAGCTGTTTCCATGCCAGTTGGTGTATAACTGCTCCCTCAGGGACCCCAGACCTGCCATGATCCAAGCACTAAGGGGTTCATTCCAAGAATACCAGGGGACCTCCGGGATCTTGCTCCATTTCAACATGCTAGAGATTTACATGTTAAGTATTTAAAATGTCATCCTGGGAACACGGGCCTGTCCCCAGGGTGGGTGGCCAGTGTGCCACTGCAGATTGCAGGAGGGTTTTGAACAGCCTTCTTTGAGCTGAATACAGTGTGCCGTGGGTAAGGACACTGACTCCCTGCCTTCAGCAACCTGTGTGGCTTTGAACAAGTCACATAATTTCTTGTGTTAGTTGTTGCTGTGTAACAAACAGTCCCGAAACAGTGGCCTAAAACAGCACACATTTTGCCCTAGCAGGTGGGATGGCTCATCTTCTAGGAGGCTCGCTGGGGCTTGTTCATAAGGTACACTCCTGGATGAGAGAGCAAGCCCCAACTATGCAAGCACTTTCCAGAGTGCTGCTTGTATGGTGTTTGCTACTGTCCCGTTCCCCAGGGGCTGAGCCCAGTCAGCATGGAGTGGGGGAGGGGAGGGGCCGTAGGAGGGTTGGATACAGGAAGGTGAGAACCAACTGGGAGTCCATCCTGCAACAGTCCCCTGAACTCATTTTATCCATCTGTGATTGAAGATGACAGACCCTACTTCATATGACGGTAGTGAAGACCGATTGAGGTAAAGCTTATCTTCACGCTCCTCCTGGGATGTCCTTCCCACACCCCCAAACCTCTCTAAGTTTCCTGTCCCCTAACAAATCGATGCCACTGCTAATTGGGAGTGGCGGTAGCCTGAACGGTGCCTCCCTGGGTCGGTGAAATTCAATAGCAGCCTCTTGGGAAATGAAAATTTTTTCTCCCCAGGAATGAGTCTCAAGGATGCTTGAGTCTCAGGACGAGCAGGTGGGTGAATGGCCTGTTTGTCTCCTGGTTAAGTGACAACAGTGAAGCTTAGCAGGGGCCCTGGAGCCCTGGCCTGGAGGGCAGGTGCTTGTCTGTCCACAGGGTCCTGAAGCTTCATTCTGGGCCTTGGATCTCAGGGGGACTGCTTGCGAGAGTCCCGACCAGTTAACAGGATGTGTCTTCCTAGGCCACACCCAGGCCCCCTCAGTGAGCACCTATGGGGCAGGGCCTAGGGTCCTCTACCCTCAGTGGACTTGGCTGGCTCTGCTTGTTTCTCCCTGCCTGCCCCCTGAAACATTCCATTTGTCTTAGAGTTTCAGGCATCTTCCCCAGAGCCTCTGCCTGGCTTTGAATCTGTTCTGCTGTGAGGAGCCCGAAGGACTTCCCTATGTTCCAGTCCTCACCTGTCCGGTGGGGATGCTAACCATCCCTGCTTCTTAGGGCTGTTGTGGGAGAGAAAACAAGTTTGTGCCAGGCGTGCAAACAGGGCCTAGCTGAGCAAACGCATGGGTTTTTTTTTTTTTAGGCACCCCACGTCCATCAGGACCACCTGCTATCAGAACAAATCCACACCCCAATACTGATGACTATAGAGTGTTCCAAGATTTTGCGTTTTCATTGCAGTTTTGTAAAAGTTGCAGGAGTATTCTGGTACATCATCTCAGTGCACGGGTGATGAGGCGGGCCGGGGGTTTATTTGGCATTTTGTTGCTCGAGTTGTGTCCTGTGGTCAACTGACATGTATGTTGAAAGAGAAGGAATCTTCTGACTGGGCAGGTAAAGCAATTTGTACCCTAAGAAGAAACGGTACCCCCAGGTTACGAAGCAGAGTACTGATCTCATTGGCTGCTCACTGTGGTTCTAACAGTAAGGGAACGTGTTACCTGTTGGTTTGTGGTTTTAGGTGAAACGCTGCCATCTTCCGAGCTCATTTAGGAATTAAAAGGGTCTCTAGGGGTTTTTTGTTAGTGTTAGGAGAGATGGATCAGAGTAGCAGGAGATCCTAATTCAAACGGACTACAGCAGCACTTTCAGCCCGTGTGTCATGGCACGCTGGTGTGCTGCAAGCATGGTTAAAACGTGCCGTACCTGACTGGTCAGGGGCACTGACCGCTTTTCCCTGAGGATGTCAAATGGAAAATGACAACAGCCAACGCAATAGCTGTCCAGTGTGAATGAATCAAAATGATACCTATTTTTTGTCAGATCAGCAAAAAATATATTTTTTGGTGTTTCACAAAATTTTAGTAACTAGTTTATGTGCGCCATGAGCTGAAAAGGGTTGGAAATACCTGGGGTAGAGGAACTACAAAGTCATATGATGAGGACCCTTTTGGATTTAGTTTTGGCTTTCTCAGTTTCTCCCCCACCCCCTCCCTC